ACCCCGCAGCCTCTGCCCGCCGCCTGGTTTCCGGGGGCCTCTCCCCGGGCTCTCTCGGGCGGCCGCGCCACTTTCCTGTTTAAAGCGCCTCCCAGGGCTTGCTTCAGCCGGGTTTGAACTTTAGTCACCCGAGCAAACGTCCCCCAGGGCGGGGTGGGGTGGGAGGACGCCGCGGGATTAGCCTGACAGCCCCAGGAGGGGCCTGGGAGCCCCTGGGCCTGGCGGGTCGGCTCTGCTGCCCGAGCCGGTTTTCAAGTGTCCATCAGGGACAGTTCAACATTGAAAGAATTTCTGTTGTCCCGGGCTTTCCTTCTTTCATTCTGTCTCCTTTCCTGTGGGTAGAAAGAACACATTATTTTTCTCCCGGAATTGCAGCTCTAAGATATTTGCAGCAAAAGCTGCACAAATTGGAGGATAGGGAGGGTGGCAGTGGTGGTGCCTGTTCCCTTCTTTCATGTTTTTCTTCAAATGTCACTTTCCTTCTCAGGGAGGCCAACGACCTTATTTAAAATAGCACCTCACTTCCACCACACTCCTTGTTTGGTTCCTTGCTACATAAGCACCTTCTAACTTCCCGTATTTTTTGATCATTTGTTTTATTATCTCCCACTCCCGAAATTTATGCTCTATGAAGACCAAGGTTTTTGTCCATCTTATGCATTGCTGCATCCCAACTCAGAAAAGCTCCGGGCATGTAGTGGGTGGCTGGTATATAGTTGGAGAATGAATGAGTGGATAAAAGAGAGCTGAGCGAGGAAGTGGGATGACTGGGAGGACCTTCTGGTGTGCCTGCTGGAGACACCTAGAACTCAGGAGTATGGCATGGGGCCACCCACTCAGTAGGCCCTGCAGGGCAGGGCTGTCTGAATCTCCCCCAGCCCACTTCCCAGCCTTAGGCCTGGGTCATCAGAGGAGTTTAAAGTGTTTGTTGAGTGAATGGCAGTTGGGTAAGCCAATCTGTGTGTCCCCAGCCCTCCACTGATGGTTCTCAAGCTCCTTCAGAAACAAGATGGTCCCACTGAAGGCAGTTCCAGTGTCCTGCTCTGCAGAGGTGGATGAACTCTGAAGAAGTTGGATGAACCCACTGATAGCTCAAGGCTAGGGGTTGTCATCCAGATCTTTTCATGGTGTATAAGAGAAGGGGTTGGTTGGAAAGGAACCAGATGTGGTATATGTTCTGGAACGAGCAGTGATCATTTTTGCTCTTTCTGGCTGAAGGCAATGGAGTGGGAATTCTCATTGTAAAGAAAGGAAGAGACTACTCCTCTGACCAGACCAGGAGGGACTCAGACAACTCCCTCAGGAGAGAGCAAGTTGTTCAATTGAGCAGAGGGGCAGGGAAATGCTATGAGGAGCTGAGAGCCAGGCATGGGAGTGGCCAAGGGAGGGGTGAGGAGTGGTGGCCAGACATGGGTGTGGACCAGAAGGGGAGGCCAGGCCAAGTCATGAAG